CAACCGGGCCGACGCAAAGACACCTTAATCCGTGGAGATGTAGTAAAAAATGCTTTTCGCGAGGGCCCCGAGGGAAGCTTTTAAGTCGGTCCTTATCTGAAACGAGCTGCCTTCTTGCCCCGGCGCGGCGGTAGCTTACACGGGAGCGAACAAGAGAGAGAGAGAGATAAAAAAAAAGGAGAACGAAGGAGAAAAGGAACGAGGCGAAAGCAAGACAATGACCGCTGTTCAAACAGCGAACATCAAACGAACGCCGCGTTTCCACGAGAGTCGACGCCATCGCGCTGCACGAGCTATATATCCCTGGCGAGGGTTTAAGGACATCCGGCGACCGGAATAACAAATATTTGTACCACGGAAGGTTGCAGACTCGGCGAACCCTTTCATTTGTAACGACAAGTCGAAATTAGTGTGGTACGCGAGCCAACAACGTTTCCTCGATACGTAAAAGAATCTGGGGAGACCTAGAAATGTTTTACTAGGATTCACTCGAGTCGACTACCGCGCCGTGATGGAGCCTGAAATAAGTCGGCCTTCGTAAATACAGGTGCTACCGGGGAATAATAACTGTCTTGCGCCGGTAAAAGGTTTTTCGAAACGAACGAGTTTTGGTTGTTACAGAAATTGCGACCGGTAAAACGGGCAATCTGGTAACGCTCGCGAAAGTATGCAGAGAACGCCGTTTTTACGGTAGCCCCGTGTTGGAGGAAAGTAAATAACGTTAAATACCAACGATACCGAATTTCCTTTTGCTCTTCTCTTTTGGACGACGAGCCGCAGAGCTGTTTCGGTGGTCGTTCGTGACAAGCTTTGTGGGCAACGCAAGTTCCCTTTGGTTTGCCTGGAACTTGTTGCTCGAGTTTCGAATAATTGGGAAATTGTTTGCTGCAAGTAAATGGAAGTTGTTTGTGCGCAGGTGTTGCTACTGTTGAATTTGCTACGTCAAAGATTTTTTATATACTGGTAGTGCTGTAATGGTAGTGGTAGTGCTGTAATGTTACGGTGTATTGCATATTGAATTGTTAGATTATTACACGTTGGGTATTGACATGTTGGATTATCACATATTGGGTATTGGTTTACGTTGAATAGACGCGTTGGACGTCAACATTAGTTATCGAAATGTTGGATTACCGCACACTGAGTATTGGCATATTGAATAGTTATGCGTTGGGTATCGACGCGTTGGATATCAACGCGTTAGATATAGACACGCAAGGGATTTCCACACGTTAGAAATTGACGCGTTGAGTCGCCACGCGTGGAATCTCGGCACGTTAGATATCGACGCGTTGAATATTCACATATCAGATATCGACGCGTTGGATATCGACACGTTGAATTATCACGCGTGGAGTCTCCACGCGTTTTATATTCACATATCAGATATTGACGCGTTGGATATCGACGCGTTGGATATCGACGCGTTGGATATCGACGCGTTGGATATCGACGCGTTGGATATCGACGCGTTGGATATCGACGCGTTGGATATCGACGCGTTGGATATCGACGCGTTGGATATCGACGCGTTGGATATCGACGCGTTGGATATCGACGCGTTGGATATCGACGCGTTGGATATCGACGCGTTGGATATCGACGCGTTGGATATCGACGCGTTGGATATCGACGCGTTGGATATCGACGCGTTGGATATCGACGCGTTGGATATCGACGCGTTGGATATCGACGCGTTGGATATCGACGCGTTGGATATCGACGCGTTGGATATCGACGCGTTGGATATCGACGCGTTGGATATCGACGCGTTGGATATCGACGCGTTGGATATCGACGCGTTGGATATCGACGCGTTG